TTAATGACATAAATTCCCAGTCGCCATCTATTGAGACGTATCGTTTTAATAGAGTAGTTTTTGGAGTAAATTCATCTCCATTTTTACTCAATGCTGTTTTACGTCATCATATTGACAAATATATAGAGGTCGATCCGCAATTTGTATCACATGTAAGAAATGAATTTTACGTAGATGACCTAGCATCAGGAGCTAAGAATGTAACAGCAGCGCTGGAATTGTATTATAAGGTTAAGAACAGGATGGCTGAAGGAGGTTTTCATTTACGCAAATGGAAAACTAATGAACCCGAAGTCGCGAAGGTTATTGAATCTGAGGCTATTCAGGAGTTGAATTTTAAGACAAAAGAATGCGACAATTCGTATGCGAAAACCATCTTGAATGAGGGAAAGGATATTGATTCCTCATGTAAAGTTTTAGGGATTCATTGGAATCAACGTGAAGATACCTTGCAATTCGAATTTTCGAAAATTGCATCCGAACTACTGGGTAAGAAAGTAACGAAGCGTGAAATATTAAGTTTTCTTGCAAAAACTTTTGACCCGTTAGGAGTTCTTTCGCCTATTCTGATTAATGGGAAATTTCTTTTTCAGGAATTGTGTGTCGAAAATATTGGGTGGGACGACGAGTTACCCCCTGATAAATTAGAGCGTTGGAATAATTGGTTAAGTTCATTAATTAATGTGGGCTCTATTGTTATTCCCAGATGTTTGTATGGGAAGAATGCTGAGAAAATTTTGCATTGTTCCCTACATGGTTTTGCTGATGCGTCTTTAAAGGGTTATTGTGCTACCGTGTATTTTGTTTATGAAGCTAAGGAAGGAGTTTTCAGTCAGCTAGTATGTTCAAAAACCAGAGTAGCACCATTGAAAGCTCTTTCTATCCCGCGTTTAGAATTAATGTCTGCTAGAATTCTCGCAACACTTATGAAAACTGTTTCCTCAGCCTTAAGTAGTTACTGTTATATAGAGGAAAGGTATCTTTGGCTTGACAGTAAAACCGCATTGTTTTGGATAAATAACAGAAATGAATGGAAACAGTTTGTGCAACACAGAGTGAATGAAATTTTAAGGTTATCTTCAAGTGAAGAGTGGAGACATTGTCCCGGTAAAGATAATCCAGCAGATTTAGGATCGCGTGGGGTTTATGTTGATACTTTGAAGGATAGTGAGTTATGGTGGCATGGTCCAGACTGGTTATGTCAGGATAAGTCTTGTTGGCCGTCAAATATTGATTTAGGTAGACCTTCTGAAGTAGATGTGGAACGTAAGAAGGTTGTCAATTCCATGTTGATTAGAGAGGAGAGTTCTAAGGATATTGATCAACTCATTGACATTAATAAGTACAGTTCGTATGATAAGCTTGTACGCATTACTGCATATGTCTGCCGATTCATAAATAATCTTAAAGCTAAAATGAACAAACAGGAAAAATTAATTGGATCTGTAACTGTACCAGAAATCTTGTCTGCGGAAAGGTTGTGGATTATTAATGCGCAGGCAGTCTTGAAACAAGATCCAAAATTTGAATTGCTTAAGAAACAGCTACGCATTGAAGAGCAGAGTGGTATTTTAAGATGTGTAGGTAGACTATCAAACTCTGATATGGAATTTGAGAGAAAATTTCCTATAATATTGCCAAAGAACCATCATTTCACGGAACTCGTTGTTTTACATGTCCATGCGTTAATGGGGCATGAGGGTCTTCGTATCACTTTAACGGAATTAAGATCTCGGTTTTGGATTACTAAGGGGAGGCAATTCATTAAGAAGCTTATCAAGCCTTGTATAATCTGTAAGAAATTGGAGGGTAAGGCTTATAAGGCACCACCTATGGCACCGTTACCAAATTTTAGAGTACAGGAGTCGCCGCCTTTCAGCAAAGTAGGTGTTGATTTTACTGGACCGTTGTATGTCAAGGGGTTAAAGGGTAAAACACGTAAAACGTATATCACCCTTTTTCATGCTGTGTAACACGTGCTTTACATTTAGAATTGGTGGAAGACCTTACAGCTCAGTCTTTCTTAAGATGCTTAAGACGATTTACTGCTCGAAGAGGTACGCCAGAGTTAATCGTATCCGACAACGCAAAAACTTTTAAGGCAGCAGCCAAGTCTATCAATCGTATATTCAGAAATAAAGATATGCAGCGGGAGTTGGAGTCAAGAAGAATAGAATGGAAATTTAATCTAGAAAGAAGTCCGTGGTGGGGTGGCATGTTTGAACGAATGGTTGGTTTAGTTAAACGTATACTTAGAAAAATTCTTGGCAATGCTCTTTTGAATAAGGTTGAAATGCATACTGTTTTAGTAGAAGTGGAAGGAATTTTGAATTCTCGACCACTGACGTACATATAAGAGGATGATTTTAATGTTGACATACTAACACCGTCTCATTTAATGTTTGGTAGGAGATTATCACCTCTTGCAGATCATATAGAATTTAATTATTCTGATGATGAAACTTCGCATAGTAAACGATTCCTTTATCTAGTTAGGAAATTACAACATTTTTGGAAGAGATGGAGAACCGAATATTTGAGGGAACTACGTGAAAAGCATAATGCTGCTGGAGCCGACAATTGTGACATTCATAAAGGAGACATAGTATTGATAGAGGATGAAAATGTCAAAAGAAGTCAATGGAAGATTGGAAGAATCGAAAAAATAATTGTCGGTAAGGATGGTAAGATACGGGGTGCTTCTGTAGTTAAGATTTGCAAAGGTAAGCGAGATTTACTTAATAGACCAATTACTAAACTTTATCCTTTGGAGATAACAGGGACAAGTGACGAAGTGGGGGATATAGGAAATGGTGACAGTGAAAGAAAGGAAGTACGAAATAGGCCTCGTAGAGCTGCAGCTGCCGACGCGCTATGGCGGACCCGTCTTGTTTTTGACTCGGAGTGAGTCAAGGGGGGAGAGTGTCGCGGAAAGCAGGGAGTTTGCCGCGCAAACGCCTTTCCCACGGTTTACTTGCGTAATTAACCAGCGTGTTATTAATCAAGGTCGTTTTTTCAGTATTCTTACTGTTTCTTTTGTCTCGTAATAGATCAACATAGGTTTAATCGTTAACACATTTATTGTTGGTAATATCTTTTGTATTTGCCGCTTGGTTAATTGACTTGGAACATTTACACATATCTTTTGTAATCATATTTTCTAAAGGGACCGATAACTAAAAACTAATTGCTTATGGTTTAATGAGTCAGTGTGTGTTGGAAATGAGCGTGTAATGTATACCACATATTTTTGCTAATAAAATGATAAAATACAAAATGTTGTATTGATTGTTGATTGCCTTACTGCAACACACTTTGTTGATTTGTTCGGACTGTTACGATAGACACCACTCAGGTCTGATTGTCACCCAAGTTTGACTGTCACCCAGGTCTGATTGTCACCCAGGTTTGACTGTCACCCAGATTTGTCTGTCGCCCAGGTTTGACATCACTCAGGTTTGACTGTCACCCAGATTTGTCTGTCGCCCAGGTTTGACATCACTCAGGTTTGACTGACACCTAGGTTTGACTGTCACCCCAATCTGCCTGTCAGTCCAGGTTTGTCTGTCACTCCAGTATATTTGTGAGAACAATCTGACTTTCATCCTGAGGGGCAAATCACTCCAAGAAAATCTCGTACACCTTTTGTGAAAATCCTATTGTTTTATCTGAAAATCCCCAGAAATCCTTTTGTTTTAGGGAAAATGTCGTACACTATTTGCAAGAGTGAATTGCCGCTCGTTTCATCCACTAGTCAGTGCAACATCTGATTTTGTTTTTGACTGGATATATTGGATTTTGGATCAAATTTTTATAGGTTAAATTCTCAATTTGCTTCCATGATCTTAAGATCACTTACCAAAAGTAAGTAGAAAGTAACATGCTTACCAAAATTCATAATTCTTTGCACTACCCTGTTGGGAATACGCAGTGGGGATCATCCGTGCTTTGGAAGAATGCTTGCTGTGAATAGGCTCGTAGTTGAAGAAGTGAGGAAAATTGATAATAAAGCAAAAAGCTAGGATACAGCCAATGGCGATGCAAGTTCGATTGACGGTGCAATGGCGTCGGCCCTAAACAAAAAACAAAAACCATTAGCGTGGAAATTCCTATCAGCTTTTATGTGTTTGCCAACAAGGTTTCTGATTACAACTGGCAGACTGTTGGTCCAGGCAGAGCAGTGGCGTGGCGTGACTTTTTCAACTGGGTATTCTCTATTAAACAAAAGGGTGGGGCAGGGTGTGGCTCGATGGGGCTTGATGAAAACAGAGGGATAATAGGAAGATTAAAAGGACTAGCTTTTGACATTCAATCTATTACTTTAACACTTTTCTTTTTGGTTCGGTTGGCAAGTACTGCACTGTCAGGGCATTACTATGATGAAAACGATACTTTGCTAAAAGGACCCAACGCAAATATACTCTTCGAACTCATTCTTGCATCAAAATTCCATTTCATCAAAAGTAATTCAAATCAAAACGTATCATTGAAAATCAGTAAAATTTTGCTGGTCGAAATATGTCCCAATAGTTGTTGTTGAATCCTCTAACATTTGCACTGATGTAAAGAGGAAGTAACTGTAAACACCTAATCTTGATACCTTAATACAAAAAGGCTTTCAAAAGTTTCAAAATTATTCACATAGGGCATTACACGAGTTATAAATAGCTTGTGGTATGCAGTCTAGACTTTTTCTTCATGGCCTAATCGTAATATTTTCAATACAAGTTAATATTTGAAAGAATCGAAGGTAATGAGATGAGACTGCACGATAATGCAAATAAATGCGCTCGAATAATGCAAACAAAATAGGCCAACAAGATAACTGAATACACCAGGCAACTATAAGGATATTATCCAGGCCTATCTGCATTTACTTTAATTCCGTCTCATAACACAATTAGAAGCATCCCTGATTGACAAGCAATAACAAAATTGGCATTTCAAGAGGGCACAGATCTGAGTCAGTGTAGTATTATGTAGAAGCCTACCTTTCCTTTCCACTTTGCTGTTGGTAGATTAAGATTAGGGGTCAAATGAGAGAATGATTATGAAACAGTAATACGGACATTGCAATAGCTTTTGAATGAAGTCATGTTTACTCTTTTCGATGAAGATCCATCACTCCAACCGCTCCGACGTCCATTATCTGTTTATATCGATCTCAAAACGAGACTATTTTGAAGCAACTTTGAGGCTGTACGCTGCATATTTCTCAGCGTACAAGACCATTGTTTTAGCTGATTAACGGCAAATATTATTCATTGAAAGGAGCATTTTGATTGGTTAAAGTACCGTCTAGGGTATTCACTGCGTATTCATGACCGATCTCCATTCAACATGAAGTAGCTCAATCTTCAAAGTTAGCTTCAAGGATCTCGCAGCCTCTCTATGCGTCGCAGTGTTGTTTCCATGAATTTCGTGATATTTTGTACTTGTACAAAATGTAGAATATCGAAGGTAATGAATTCAACCAGAATCAATTGCCCCAAAACATTTTTTAGTTATTACAAATATACGTCGTATTAATATTTTTTCTGAGAAATCTCAGGGTATTCACTGAATACCTTGAATACCCGGACACTACGCCACTGAGGCAGAGTGTCCCCTTCAACTGGCACTTCCTTCAAATTGGAAGTGTTTTAGAGACACAACAGCAGATAGCAAAAGAACTGGTGACTGTATCTTACAATCTAAGTTTCAATCTTACAGGCACCTACCCTGCATACGGATCAATTTTAAGAGAGTAAAGAAATTGTGTAGACAGAAGGAGTTCGTTTTCTCTCTTGGAATCCAGTGGTAATTTTTCTTTAGGCACGTGCTGTGCTTGCGTTTTTGTCATTGGCCTATTTCGATCCACAACTGGGTATATATTATCCATCGTGTTCCTTCGGACCCTTATTCTGACGTTTTATGCTCTGAGGAGTGTCAGAAGAAAAAGCTTTTAGTTCATTTGTTGTAAAATGCTTGCTTTTTCGAAGCCATTTTCAAGTTCTGTACCGCCAAAATACTGTTCAGAGTACAGACAACAAGGAAAAGAGCTGGCCATCAACCATTATCGTAGTATTAGTCTCATGGACCATTTTGCTATCTTACTGGCACTTACCTTATCGCTCGCTTTTTCACACAAAAAAGGACGTGCATTTGATGTGTTGATTTCTTTAATTGAGCTGTCTCAGATATTAAGACGGGTCTAGCAACCCACACAAAGAAATAAGAGTTGTTTCTGAAACCGTTAAGAACGTTATTCTAACATAATCGTTGACATGTGTGTGGTGAAATAAGTGAGTCTAAAAGTAACAAGGGAAGGAACTCTTGACCTTACGTCACCATGGGGCCAGAACAACTTCACTCTCTTTTTGTATGAATGGCCTAAATGGCTCACTTTCCTTAAAAGCAATACTGTAAATCCTCAAATTAGCCCCCTGGGGGCTTATTTATTTTTGATATTTTTGGTCGGGGGCATATTCGAGAGGGGGGCTTATACGAGGGGGGCTTATAAAATTATTGTAGACAATAAGCAGACATTATTAAAAGACCTTGTTTATTTTAGTAGGAATTACTTTATGAGCATTTAATTAATTACTACCAAAAGTACGAATTTGTCGTGGTAATTCAATAAAACGCCATAGGCAACCTCAGATGGCAAAAACCGTCAAACTGAGGGTCCAATTCGAGATTATACGATAGCAATGGAGACTTATTCGAGAGATGGGGGGGCTTATTGACAGTTTGTAGTTTTAGAGTGGGGACTTATTCGAGGGGAGGGCTTTTTCGAGGGGGAGGGGGGCAATTCGAGGATTTACGGTAGATAGATACTAAAGTGGCATCAGCACCCGAAACCAAATGACCTATGTACAGTGAAGGTCTATTTACCATGACTCAATGCCTTGAACAAATCAGCAAGCATGTGAGTGGTATCACGCTCACTGATTGGCAACTGGCTGATGCCACTTTAGTATCTATCTACCGTAAATCCTCGAATTGCCCCCCTCCCCTCGAAAAAGCCCTCCCCTCGAAAAATTTCCCACTCTAAAACTACAAACTGTCAATAAGCTAAAGTTCTATGTGATATCAGCATCCGTTGTTGACAACTTGCTATTTGCAGAAACTGTTTTGTTAATCAGTACGAGGCAACTTCATGTGATCAGTGTCAAACTAACCAATAGCATAGAGGCAAAATGCCTTCAATGTGGATTGGCAGATTGCTCAAACCACTTATATCTGTTGATTGCTTTTAAGATTATAATAGAGTTGTCAAGTGATGACGTCACAAAAATCTATTTTAAGAATTTTTAAAATTTCTTCCCGTAACATGAAAGAGCATCATGAAATACATCTAAATCTGCAAAATTAGTTAAAGGTATTACGAATTGGCTGAGATATGACCAGATGAGCACAGGCTCTTGCCTTATCAAACCTCTGTAATTTGATCTTGGTTCACAACTTTATTAACTGAGCCAAAATAACAGTAATCCGTTTGCAAACTTCAAATCCTCTATTGGCAATAGCTCACCCAATTTTTGATAAATTTAACTGATTTTGCATAAATGGGAGCATTTGATCGTGTAATGTGGTCAAAATTCGAAAATTCTAAAAATAGTTTTTTTGTGACGTCACACTAGAGAACTAGGGGGCTGATGAGTCTATACGGCACTCAGAAACTACAAAAGCTGCTAAAAAAAGGTCGTACCAATAACGGAAACCGGACCATTATCAGTCGGTTGATCGTCACTCCAACAAGAAGCCATATGCTCGCCACGATGAAGAAGAAAAATAATGGGAAACCAACATAAGCATGAAACCATACAAAAGCATAGCTCTTAGCCATGGATGATCCAAATGCCTTTGGAAAGCCATCAGTCAATAGGAAGAACACCAACAGTCCCGTATCAGCTATTCCCAGGGCGATGAAATATATAGCACTTGATGGGCTGCTGCCGATCCTCTTCCGCACAAAGCGCATCCATACCCCAATGGAGACGAGGTTACCCAGAATGCCAAGCAGGCATACAGGGATACCTACAGGCACACTTGTTATCCAGTTTAGTCTGTCGATGCTGAAAAAAAAACAAGAATATCAGAAAAAACAATAATTTCTAAAATCTACGATGGAAATGGATTGAGTTACAGTAAAAGAGAGGATGCAACACCAGGATGCAATGGATGTTTCTTAAACTGAACACATAAAACTGCTTCCTACGACAAAATCACATGAAACTAAGGTTGGCAAAAATATAACGAAACGAAAGCGTGAAAGCAATATTTAGGCCTATTTACAACGTGGGGGGTCACGTGATTGAAGTCCTGACTAGGGTCCAGACCTCAGTACTTGTCAAGAGGTTTCTTCAACAGCCAGTTGTCAACAATTGTGGTTGAAATCACATGAAACTTTTGATTGGCAAAAGAACATGCTGATCAAATGAAGATTCCCTGCTGGGTAATTCCACACCAACTCAACCAGCCCATCTAACCCACCCTCTTAGATCATTTTGATATTTTATCCTCATATAATTATACCACCAAAGGTTAGAAATTATTTGAAATTTCAGGTCAATACCTCTTATCAGTCAAAAGTTATAGCGACATTCCTTTTGAACCTTTTTGTGTTTGTATTTGTATCTACCTAGCATCCGAAGGTAGTTTTTAGGACACTGAGAACCTTATGTTTATCGAGAAGTGTCCTGGTCCTCCCTCTCGATGTGACCACACCTCGTGATTCCTACGCCTGGAATTACAGAGAGCTGGCGACTCTCTCCACTCTGGGTGAAAGTTTGGTCTTGCCAGGGACTCGAAACACGGACCCTTGGGTCTGTAGTCAGCGCCTCTAACAACTGAGCCATCCTCGCACGAAATAGGCCTGTTCATTCAACTCAAGCATGTACAGATTTGTTTATTCTTTGTAAAAACCCAGCTAAATGCATGTTTGAGATAAAACTTGCCTGTTTTGTGTATTTTCAAGTCCTTAATCAAAAAATTCAACCAGAAAGCATTTATTACAGACATAGAGAAAAATATTGGTCCCTAAAAGCCAAACAGTTGCTTCCAAAGATTTTCCGTCCTTGCAGTTGCGTTATTCAGTCAATTTTGAAGATGTGTCTATTTCTTATTTTTTGTCACTTTAAAAAAACACTACAACAAGAAAAATTATACATCTATTTATGCCGCATGCAGGGCGAAAAGCCATTACATTATCTGGTCCTGTACATATGACACTTCAATGCTACACAGAAGAACTGCAAAATGCTCCATCGAAAATATTCTTTAAAAAGCAACTGAAAATTTTCTTACTGAACAAGCAGGGCCACATTTACGTCTGTTGGAACCCTGGGCCCAAAGTTGACTCGGACCCCTTAAAATATACTAAAAACTTTGTGTCACGTGCACAGTACTTGGCTAAACATAGTCAAACAAAATCAACCAACTAAAAGACACGAATAAACTTGTATCCATTTTATATTTCAGTACATTCCGAATAAAACTACCCAACTGCTGAAAACTTTTCAATGATTTTATTGGGGTTTAAAACTCTCAGGACATCAAAATCTGCTGCCATTAAACATAAGGAAACAACGCGCTACTGCGACATCGGCACCTTAGTTCACACTCTTTTTATCTACCCTTTTCAGCATGGTGAAATATTTTTCACCGTAGAAACATCTTTATGGCAAATTGGGCAACAAACTAAGGGCAATCATTGCATTGGGGGAAGCTCCAACCAGGACAAGCGAAAGTTTTAAAAGCCCTGGGGTAAAAACAAAATTTTAGGCGCCCCTGCGAGCGGAGCGAGCTGAGAATTCTTATGACCAGCCCCTTTATTCCATTCTTAAAATGGAATTCATTACTTTGCGAGGCTCCCTAGCTCCATTCAAGCACAAGATTGAAATCAAGAGCACTTTGAAGGCTTTTAAAATTTTGCACGGGGCCCCCTAAATCGAAAAATGTTAGGGGGCCCCTGGGCCCGGGCCCAGTGGACCCATGGGTAAATGCGTCGCTGTGAACAAGGTCAATCAATATTTCTAAGCTGTTTTTGATACCTGCGCAATTTCCATTTTATTATTTTTCCATTTAATCATTTAATCGAATTTATTGAAGGATAGGGGGGGGGGGCTCTCTCCGCGATTAGTTTACCTATTGAGAGAGCTCCTCCTTTTAGTAATTCGCTCCATTCAACTTATCCCAGGCCTATGTATTGTATATTGTTTTAACTTTCCTATCAATGTATTAATTTTCTGCAATAATTTTCATTGTAGTTTAGTTACTTGTTAGTATAGTAAATTACATATAATTTGTATGTAGTGAATTTAAAATATATGAAACTGAAACACTACAGTTCAGTGTTTCACTTGTCATTAGGACTTTTCCAAATATGTATAGTCACGAGTGGTATATGGGCTAGATTCAAGTTTCATCTTATTTTCTTTCTTTTTCAAAAAGACTCTAAAATTTGGGCAAACTTTGCAAACCTTTTTTAATACAATTAACTACAAACTAGCATCCGAAGGGAGTTTTTAGGACACTGAGAACCTTATGCTTATCGAGCAGTGTCCTGGTCCTCCCTCTCGATGTGACCACACCTCGTGATTCCTACGCGATTCCTACAAACAATTTCGTTGTGACAAAATTTTGAAAAGCAGAGCCCAACCCTTTCCCCTCCCAATTTTACCACCCAGGACAAGCTTTGTTGCCAGTTTCAAAGAATTCCGCCTGCCTTTTTGTACTAAACTATACCAAATCTTTCATTCTTTCAAGGTATTTTTCAACCCAAATTTTGAACTCTACAGGAAGCACAATTTTGAAACCAACTTTTCCTGTTGGAGATGGTCTTATACTTTCCGAATCTTATACTTATATTCACACTTATACTTTTAATTAAACTCTTTGAATGCTAAAAGCATCATCTTTTACCTAACTTTCACATAAACTGAGAAAAATAAACCGCTTTAATTTGGTTTTCCTGACATGCGGTTCTGTGTGAAAAAGCTGCCTGGGGGGTTGAGCAAAATTCCAAGCCGGTGCTCAAGCCCTCCAAGTCTCCACGAAGCTGGTACCTATGGGACTGAATATAAAAGCTACCTTATGGTTTTGCCTCTTAAGATTTGGGTAATATGCTGCTATGTTTATGTTAAATATCCACGACAAAATTCTGAAAAGTTGTCCGAAATTTTTTTCAACAAAGTTTGTCTGCCGAAAATTTATCTGACAAAATTTTTTGTTGTTAATGTAGAACTTCAAAGTAGCAATGAAATTTGTCCACATTTTTTACAGAACTTTGGTGTTACATTCATGTAGATAAATTATCTGTACAGGTCAGTGGTGGATTTAAGGGGGGGCAACTAGGGGCAGTTGCCCATCCCTCAACAAGTTGAAGCAAGTCTGCGCCCCTTTTTGGAAATTGTGCACCCCTTTTTTTGGAAATTGTGCGCCCCTTTTGAAGAATGAGAATCAGATGAAAAAGGTTCTTGGACCGATAGGTTAATTTGCTTCAAGGATTACCTCAAAGTTATGTTGTTTATTCTGAAAAGATATCTGAAATTGTTGTATACAGCGTACTCTCGTAACCAATTTTTGAAAATTTTTCAGCACCCCTACTACTTACTGCCCTTCTTCAAATTTGCTCTGGATCTGCCCCTGGTACAGGTAGAAGGTTCTATATCTCCTCTCCTATGGCTTTGTTCAGAGTTTGAAGATTCTTTCTACTGTGTTAAAAGATTGAGTGTCCTTTTTCTGTAAAATGTATGAATGAAGAAGACTTCAGGTCTTTAGCTATGTAGGAAGTTCTTTTAACATTAAAACACATTGTTTGCAATGTGTCAAAATGAAACAAAATCCTCCCCTTTCTGTCCCTGTCAGTGGGACAGCTCCTAAGCCCAAGGTTGAAGCTAAGAACCAAAGGGTGGTTATCTTGATCACATCAAAATTTCAGATTCCAGAAGGAAAGGATGAGCTTCACTGTTTTCAAGGTCCTCTGGAAGTACAGCTGTACGAAATCACAAGGTTTGGGCACATTAAAAGGAAGGACCAGGACACTGCATTACAATCATAAGCTTCTGTCCTAAAAACTACCTTCGGATGCTACAATCCTTGAAAAAAGTCCTTGGAACACCCTGCAGTTAACGTGAGGTTTTGATGAAATAGAAGTTTCTGAACCTACAGACCCACTTCCCCCCCAAAAAATGATGGTTGAAAATCCTGCTGATAGTTACATTGGATGAATTTCAAGCTTTGAAGCTGTTGTAATTCAACATTGTTTGAAGGGGCAGAGGGGGCTGCTCCTAAACTTATGCAAAATTTTAGCTTAGTGTACCAAGACTTCTGGCAAGCATTGTAGGTGTTCTATTTGGTAAGTATTCCAAGAGGCCAGCAGACAGAAACAATTGGTTGTTTATTCAAATGTAAACAACAACTACAACTTCCTAGATACTACTTCATGTAAGTTAAGACAACAGTAGGTATCAAATATTTAATAATTTTTAAATGAATCCAGGTGGGGAGCTTTTTTCTTCTAAACAAGTTAAGCTGCTCAGGGGAATTTCCTCCCTTCTTGAGAATTTCCTACAAAAGAATTTCCCAAACAGTTCATATGATATGATAATTCTTTCCGTGGATGGTTCAGCTGGCACCCTTGACCATTCCATATAATCAACAATCAGGGCACTTGGCTCAAAAACCTTTTTGGTTCTCTCAGTGTCCCCCGGGCAACTTACTATAAATCTGATAAGATAGAGAATATTGTATTCATCAATAATTAACTTTGTATCATTTATTAATATATCTTAATGAATTATCTTACAATAATCTTATTATAATATATCTTAATATATCTTTGGTTAAAAAGTATTTGATGAATTGTAAATATGTAAATACATGAATTTGAAATTGACTTCAGGGCCCGTGCCACAGGGGGCAAGGGGCCTTAGACTCCCAATAAAGTTGTATCTAGCCTGTAATTGATCTATATGTCATCATTTCTGTATCATGTTTGTAATGTACTGATGTCACTATGCTTTGTACTCTGTTGTCGTTGATTGATTTTAACCAGATTCGTGTATTATAAGTAATTGTAATTAACAATGTAAATCAGTCGTGATTCAGAATATGATGAATACAGGCGTATAAACCAGTGTCCTTTATTAGCGTTTACGCTACAAAAGGATCAAAATCAGCTCAAAATACTTTAGATAATTTTGTAGACAACCACAAATTCAAGTCCATAAGCTAAACAGTGTTTAAAAATAGTCAGTGTTTAAAAAACTTTATATTGAGATTCAATAACTTAATTTCACAGCACGCAAAAAACAAACTCAACATGATATTATACTTTTTTGGTCACCCAACTTAATTTTTCAGTGATATTAAGAGCATTTGCGGAATAATAAAAAATTTTCACAGGTTCATCAAAATTATCTATCCTTCTTTGCAATGTTGTGCACTGCTCTATGAAATGCTCTTAGTTATTTTTCTTTCTTACCACGCAGCAACAAAAAAAGCAACTCAACAAAAATTAAATAAATGAAACATTGATCCTTACCCAAACCCTATCCTTTTGCATGGAACCACACGCAGAGAGGTGCGAAACTGCAATAGCCCCAAAAAGTAAGCTGATTAAAGCAAAGTATCACAAGACTTACAGACAATGATTAAATTGTTCTTGGATCAAATTTAAATCCATAAGTGTTAGCAAAATGTTTGCCACAATTGGGGCAAAGAAGAGTAACAGAAAACTTTCTTTAAATTGCTGGCCCTTCCAGCTTTGGGTCAGTGGCGCGAGCCCTGGACTATTGCATTGCCATTGAAAATAGGACCAAATTGTGACAAGCTTTCTGTTTCATTTTAACAATGGCAAAGCCCTTTGATCGAAATCCCTCCACCTCTACCCATATGAAAAATGAGACACAAACCAATATAACTATTATTTTTCTGCCTACATACCTGACCATTTTCTTCGCTTTCAAGTAACAAATTGTCAGCAGACAGACTTTTTTAACGAAATCAGGACAGGAGCCAGAATTTCCGCTTCATGTGACCTCTGACCTCTCCTCCATGGAGCCTCTTTTGGTTTCTTGGAACAAGACCAATTTTAGGGACGGATCCGAGAGAGGGGGAGTTAGGTGCAAAAGTTCTGGAGCCCGTGCTCCAATGGGGCCAGTAATAACCTTACACAATGTACCAGATTGTTACAAGATCTATTTACAACGCAGATTGCTTATTCTTCCAGCTACATATGCCGAATCAAGTGCTGATGGAATGAAGCTCATATTGGGGGGGGGGGGGGGGAGGGGGCTGCTCATTGTATTGTTCACATTCAGTATACTGTTATAAAGGAAATATCCTACGGTTTCAAAGGTTGCAACCCTCCCGATTTAGGTGTTAATCTCCTGTTCCCCTGATTTCAAATACATTCGTATTTTATAAGAAACTGTCTATAAGAAACGAGTACTGGACAGTCAGAAAAAATTAAGAAACTTCAGTACTCAAAGCAAGAAACTATTAAATCGTGATTAAACTGTGAACAATAAAATTTTGTAAAATCCAAGAAGATGATTGCCCTGTTTGCCTAGAAATTAAGACACAAGAGATAAAAATATACTTCCAATGTCTAAATACAGCATCAGAACAGAGGCGAATCTCTTGACGTGATAAAAAAGGTCACGAACATTTCATAACATCATTCATGACATCATAGTTAAGAAACTCTTAAGAAACAACGAGTCTTGAAATTTCTAGAACATTAAGGAACCGGAGTATTCAACGGCGACCTTTGTTTCTTATAAAAAATTTACTGATAATCTCCCGACTTCATAAAATTTTTCATAAAATTCAATTTCAAAAAATATGTTGCGCAAATAAAGACAATATACAGGAGTGCATATGAAGTTCGTCACCTTATCAGGGTCTCCAACAAAGGGGGCATCCACCTATTCTGAAAACAAAATGTTTTGTTATGGGATTGAATCTTTCAATGCCGCCCCCCACTTAGAGTCCTGTGTCGGTGTTATGAATTTTTAAAATATCGTGAAGAAATATACAATTTCCTCCGAGTCGTCTCCGAGAATGCGATTCATAAAAAACAACAAGTCTCTATAAACAACGTCATGAATCGCAAACAGCGAGCGAAGAATATATAAAAGTTCATAATAGGCAAATATCTCAAATACAAACGAATACAAGCAAAATACAACCCTCGGTTGTTCTCAATTCTCTAATCTCTAATCTTATTCAAACATTCGACCTCTCTCCATCACCAACACTCGAACTCCCCTTCTCTTCCTCGTTAATTATGCTAATTTATTCTTACGTCACGCATAGAAATTGTCTTTTATTGCAACAGTCGGAGCCCATGCTATATCTTTCTGATATTTAAACTACGCCTGATGAAATACACTTTTTGAGGGACGAACGAGCGAAATATCATCAAACCTCTTTCCAATAACTTTGATGAATTTTATTTAGCCAATCAGGTGACTTTTTACATTTTGACAACTCAGCCAATCAGAGGTAGCCTGTGCTCCAGACCCCTAACTTCAACGGTAAATTATGCCACAAAACAGTTTTTGTCGGTAAATTATGCCACAAAACAGTTTTTGTCGGTAAATTATGCCACAAAACAGTTTTTGTCGGTAAATTATTCCCCAAAAGAGAAAGGCAACTATTTTATTGGAGAAGGACATATGCTTGACTATTCACTACACTATAAATTTTTTATTGCAAACGTTTTCACATATTTATAGAAAATTGATACATATTAAGAAATATTGTTCATAGAATACTACATTGAATAAAGCAAGATAAAATAAAGAATTTCATCTTGAATTTAGATGTAAAGAAATTCTTACTTCCCTCTTCGAGTTCACTTTCCCAGGGTTTTAAGGAAATTTATTTTTTGCAAAAACAATATCATTTGTGGAGTGATTAAAAAACAAGTCAGGTATACATTTTTGCCAATGGACCAAATATGAACAATTAAAAATCTTCAGATGTTTCATATTCTTTGGCTGGAACATCTACTAGGGGGAGGGGGCTGGGGGCTCTGTTTCAAATAAACACATACAAAGGCCTACGCATGGTTTGATAAACACCAGAAGCTATTAAAGCTTTTAAATATTGTTCGTCTTGTTATTTGGCAAAAACTTGTATTTTAAAATGGACATACAGACTGTCCTCGAAACATTTTTACCTGAAAAGTTTCCCTGGGTGCCAGAGCCACAAAATATTGGGCACGTAAACAAAATGCCAAGCAGAGAAGCAGAGGAGTGGCTAGCCGAGAAGAAGGACAACTTGCTCTGGTACCTAAGGTCTCGAATACTTGTACCCAGTGGGATAGCTTGACCTTCCAGGCTAGGGCGTTGGAAGGTCGTGAATAATAAAATTTACTGACCGACATAGAGAAAGATATAAACTCAGGTGTCAAGTTTATGGAAAACCAAGTTTATGGAGCATGCATATAAAAATCCGGCCATTCTCTTCAGTATGCTTTTTGCCTATTTCAGCGGTTTAAAAATTTCGGGGGGCGATTCCCGAGAAAAGGTTGGGAAACACTGGCCTATTTCGCCTACCGATATACGATTTTACCGACAAACCAGGAAATTTTTGCACCAACTTAAAATTTACCGACAAACTCATGAAGAATTGGGGGTGTCACACCCCTTACATCTCCCTGCTAGCTATGCCGCTGCTTAGGCAGTGTTGTAAAAACAAGATTCTGAGCCAGAGATCACACAGTTTGGTCTTTTTTCTCTTTCTCTGTAACTCAATGACTCTATTTACAAATTAAGTGAACATAGTTAGGCAAATGACAAACTAAAAACTTAATTAACTTTCCCTCTCATCGCAGTAGACTTACGTACTCGATTTGAAACAGAGCCTCTTTTAAAGTACTGCTACTAAATAGGGGGCAACCGCTCCTGCATGACGGGAGACTTGTGTAATCGAATATCATTTTATTTCACATGTAACTTCAGCAACTAATTACTAGTTTGTATCAATATCAATTATGTTTAATATAAAAGAGGATAACTTTCAACGAATTAAATTGGGAATCAGAGACTTTTCATCATCAGGGTCTAAGTTTGTTATCAATACGTACTGTCAAGTCAAATCAAATCAAGCTACATGACAGCACCGTCAATGGAAGTGTATTCAATATTACTGGTAGTAGTGTATAATACATGATGATTTTCATATCAATAAAATACACACATTACAACCATCTTAGAGCATAAACAGAAAATATCAAACACAGGCCTGAAATTTTTTGCTGTAAAATGAGTCTCTTTTGAAGAAAACGAGGCCTGTTTCTTATACAAGGGGGATTCCTATATTAGGGTACATGATGATTTTCATATCAATAAAATACACACATTACAAACATCCTAGAGCATGAGCAGATAATCTATAACAAAACTGTTTGTACTTGAAAATAAGAAACATTTCAGGCTTAAAATTGTTATTTATAAAAATGAGCCCCTTTTGAAGAAAATGAGGCCTGTTTCTTATACAAGGGGGTTTCTTATACGCGGGTACTTTCTGTAGATTTATAAAAAAATAGGACAATAAAAAGTATCTCTAAAGAGCTTTCGAGCCATGTGTTCTCGTTTTAGTACAAAAACAGGATGCAGGACTCAACATAGAAAATCCACCCTGTGATTAAAGGCAATCTGTCTCGTTGTGGATTGGTTAACGAGAACAATAGCAGGAACAATAGCCTAAACACGATTCCAGCGCTCCGCCATATTTTTTACAATGCGATCAATTAAGGGGAGACTGGAAACAATAAAAATCCTACAATAATAGTAAACAATAATAATTGTTCTTATAACCAATCAACGTCGTGACAGATTGCCTTTAATTTAGACTGTGAGGAAATTTGGAACTATTTCAAAGGAAAACTTTTTTCTAGGCGACCCCGTTCTGGTACGGCCAGCAGTTCCATTTTGAACGGTTCTGACGGGTCCCGTTCTAAAGCAAAGCCGAGCTGGACTCATTTTAGTCCGATTCCAAACGGAATTGGCCTCAATTTAGCACGGAATCGGCCTCGTGTAAACACTGCCTTAGACTTGTTGTGTAAGATTCAAAGTCTTTGAAGTAGTTTTTTCATAACTTAATATTTCTTAGTTCTATTCAGAATTCTATATAGATCCACAACTGGATATATATATTTCCTAGCGTACAGTTTTGAATCTATGTTCTGACATTTTATACTCTGAAGAGTGTCAGACGAAAGGCTTTAGCATGACTCGAAATGTTTGCTTTTTCAAGGACATTAATAGCTTTCTGTTATCAAACAAGAATCTAGTTATGATAATTTTAATAGCAGCTGGTATGATTCTGCCAAAACCTTCCCACACTGAGAACATCAAGACAGAAGTCCACAGCTATGACGTCACTTACCCATAAAACTCGGTCTTTGAATAAATTCATGTTTCTTTTTACGTTGTTGCCATGGAATTTGTAAGGATGCAAGAAAACAGTTTTAAAATCATACTCGTTCCAGGCCCTATCGGTGTTGCTAGTCCAACTGCCCCAGCCATACTTCTTCTGGAGATACAATCCTTCCATGAACTCCACATTTTTTATGTCTTCCAAGAACATCACCGCCATTGGAGTTGCTACCTCAAGAAACAGTCTATGGTCGTAAAATTTCTGGCCTAAAAGTGCGTACTTCTCTGAAAGCCTTTTTGGAATATAAATAATATCTGATAATGCTCCAATACAAACATCCGTTGTTCCTAAATTCTTTTCCAGTTGTTGAAACATTTTCAAATCCGTGAATGTTGAGTTGTTCTGCATTTCTACGTAAGCACTCTTACATCTCTGAAGGCAGTTCGCTCTCCTCCACCAGGAGCTAATATCCGATATATATATGTTTTGTGTCGTCATTTCTCCCAAACTAGTGAACCATACTTTGTTCCTATCTAATTTCAGAAAGTTCCACCAATTAACTATCATGTCATCGTTAACATACAGGTAACCATTATACCCAGGGTTCCGGCGAATAGCCTCGACCAAGCACTGATATCCGTAATAGCCATATTCATTTTTGGGTTGATCAATACGAACGACGGTGTAATTTGCACTAATTTCCGGACCGCATATCATAAAATTCGGAAACACGGGCGAATAGAATTTCTTCAGGATTGGTATTGTGTGGTAAAAGGGATGGTTGAAATTGATCGCAAGAAATAAATCCGAGAATATTGCCGAATTCTTGGAATCTCTGGTAATACGATTTTGGCATAACTTTTTGTTTTTTTCTGCCCATATCCATGGTATCTTGCATTGTATTGATGGACTTGGTGTCATTCCTGAAATTAAATTTAAACAAATTGACAAAGAGATAACACTGTTTCAGAGAAACCTCAAAGCAGGGGGGGGG